CAAGGGCTTCACTGTGAATAGTGGAGGGGCTACTTCCCCTACACTGTCATTAATACAAGTATGAAAGAATGGGTTAATAGAAAACAGTTTTCTAAGACCGTCTGGAGGAAGTCCTTTTTATAATGAATGAAGTGAGAATGTGCAGAGCAACTTTTGGTTTAAACCATAGTCTCCACACTCAAGAATGTTATAAAATACAAAGATTCAGTTGAAAGTAGATTACAACCTTATCAGTTACCCCAAATTCTGCATTGCTGATTAGTGAATTAACTTAATTCTTCCAATGGATTATAAATGAATGATTTTACACATGGCATCCAACAGGGGGTACTATAATTAAGTCACTTCATTATGTTGTTGGTTGCAGTGGACTGACTCCAGATAATGGGTTGTTTCCTCTAAGCAAAGCTAAGATGAATATTAATCAGGGATATTAAAAAGACAGGATAAAAACTTGACAAAAGGTTTCAAACCTCCTTCTATATTCCTATTTTTTTTACGTTCCTTGAAAGTCGACTTTCTCTGGCAAAAATGGATAGATGGTGAGAAAAGTATATAAAAGAGATTATTGACTTGACTAAGTAAAGGTCAACTTTTATTTGATAAAGAAAACCTAGGTTATATTTTGTGAACGCTATGATGTTAGTCAGCAAATATTTATTAAGGATCGACAGTTTCCTCATATGTATATAACCACACCTACTCAAATAGGGATTTGTTGAGGATTAACTCAGTAAATCCATGTAAAACACATAGAATCATGGCTCTTATAGAATAAGAACTCAGTGAATAGTAGCTAATAAGGGTTCTGTAATGTAGTTAAAATATAAGACACTACAGCACGTACAGAAAGAATGTTTGCTTACACTGCAAAAGAATGTGCATGTTCATGTGTGTGCACGTGTGTGTGTGTGTGTATGTTCATGCCCACATGTGAATTAGGTAATGATAGCCATATAGATTTAAGGCCAAGGAGATTTATGTTGGTAGGAAAATATTTACAAAGAAAGGACTAATTTAACTGAGGTAAGAATGAGGGATGCAATCAAATAATTATTCCAAAGGGGAAGAAAGGTCGGATGGATGAGGAGGCGATGTAAAATGAACAAGGTTGTGGAATAACATGGAATGCCCTAAAATACAGAAGAGAATTCCTACTGGGAAGCAGAGGAGGGCTAATCAAGTGTTTGGACAATTCTCTGTGGTCAAAAAAAAGTCACCGATGTTTTGAGTAAGAGAGTCATACTATGAAATTGATTTGGGGAGTATTAATCTTAATACAGTATTCATCTAAAGAGAAAACAATAGTGATTATGAGTTAAGATGGCAGTAAGAAATGTATGTATTCACCCAAGAGAAGCAAGACCCAACTTGAGTGATAGAAGTGATAACAGGAAGGGAAATGGATGAAAAGACATAATTTCAGTGGAAGAAGGGAGAAAAGCATTACAACAGATTTTGCCTCTTTCCAATATGGGCTACAATTTAATCATAACACTCTAGTCTCAAAATCAGTTACCAGGACACCATGCCTGTAGAACAAAATCTTAACTGCTTCTTTGATGATTAAATTAGATTCAGCATGTGAATCTAAGTTTAGTTGCTACAATTAGCCTCCAAGAATCCTCTCCTGAAAGCACTGTGTTGTCACTTTCTCTGTCTTCAGACCGTTTGCCACTGCCTGAAGTGTCTTCCCCTTCCCAAGCCTTCTGACATCGCTTCCCACTCTTCAAAATTAACAACAAAAGCAAACTCTAGGTAAAGTCAATCAGCGGTGTTTGCCCTTCTCTGTACACCATTTTATAGAATTTAGGAAATCCTAACACGGATCAGGTGCCGACTTAGCACATGTATCAGACTGGATGTATCTGGGAACAAAAATCAGTAGAATCTTGGTATCATTGCCAGCATCCATCATAATGTTTTGCACATACAAAATACTCAATAAATATTGGTTGAATAAATGAATGCAAAATATGTCATTTACTGGCTTAACTACATTGTTGCAATGCTCTGAGGATACTTTGTGTCTGGGGAGAGAGAGAGAGGGAGAGAGACATTCAGGGTTGTACTTTTAGAGTAAGAAAGGTCAGGACCATTGGTTCATTGAAGCAAAAGCAACAATGTGGGTAAATTTGGAGGAGCACACGGGTGCCTGGGTCCTCAGTCTATGCCTGGCCTTCTGCATCAGAAGAGTGTGAAACGTGTTTACAGTTTCTAGAGCCTGCTAGTGAGGTCTCTGCTCTTATGCCCACCTGAGCTCTTCCCTTTTAGTGACACAGTCACTACCAAATGACATCAGTTCAGCGTGTACTGAGGTACGACTTACATTCAGGGCATTCTATTTTCTAAGACGTCATGACTATTTCTGCAGTGACACCTACCCATAACAGAAAAAAAAATGAGAATCTGTAGAAATGCTCTAAACAAGTTAAACTTGAGGTTGTACTTTTTGGAATCAGTGAAGAATGCCACAGCAAGAATGTAAATTATTCTAGTATAATGTCTTTAAGTTTTTCTTACATCTCAATGCATCCTTAAAATGACACTCAAAAATGGATTATCATTAATATTCCAATAATTCCATAAAATGATACTGACAGTGATGGGGGAGCAGAGAAATGCTAATAGAACATGATTAGTGAATGATGCTATAAATATATTTCCATATAATGCCATATTGGATAATAGAAGAAAAAACACTGTGGGGGTTGAGGACCTCCGAAAGAATGTTCAAATGTTTGAGCCCCCTTTGTTCAAATGTTTTTCATATTAATCACTGCAATTTTCTAGGCTTCATGTTTTCTCACATGAATACTTGAAAGAGTAAAATTGGCCAGAAAGGGTTGTGAGAATACAGTGAGATGACACATGTGAGTATCCACGTTACAAGGTTTGCCCAGTGTAGACGCTAAATGAATCCTAGCTTCCTCTTATTCCACACCCTGTTTTCATGGAAGAGCATTCATATATGCATACAACATAAACAATGCATATATATGCTTAAACACAAATATAGTGATGTACTAATGATACAAGAGTTGGGCTCTTGCTTCCATTAGAGAAGAACAGGTCTAAAGAACATCAGCATATAAATGTGATAAGCATTCAGTTAAGTATGGTGGCTGTACCTATTACTAATGCCATTCAACTGATGCATCCAGTATTTCACAAGAAGACTAGCAAAGTGTACAGAGTATCAGATGATGAAAGCTGGAAGGGTGGAGATTGGGGTTGAAGGGACTTCTCAAACTCATCAGGTACAAATCATCAAAGGATAATGTTCTCAGACCTAAAATACTGGGATAATTTTAACGTGTTAGTATAGGATCTCAGAGACTATATCATTTTCTTTGTGTATTTCTATCCCTGGTAGAAAAATAGTCCTGCACTGGCTCATAGAGAAGCCAGTCTTCTGTTTCAGAGATTTGACACAGAGGGGGACTTACTAAATGTGGGCATATCCATTGAACATTAAAATAGAAGAAACTGTTGTGATTTACATTGAGTTTTTAGCTAAAGAGAATTGGAAGGTAGATCCAGGAAAATAATTAAAATTCCCATTAAAATGGCCACTGGAACACTAGATCTGTTGGTATATAAAAATACAGTGGAATGGATAAGGCTAAACAGAAGCATTTTTAAACCTTTTTTTTTTTTTTGCCAGAAAATATATCCCCAAAGAGCCTTCAAAGTATTAAAGCTGCTTAAGGGGTTGCCTGAGTGGCTCAGTCACTTAAGTGTCGGACTCTTGGTTTCAGTTCAGGTCATGATCTCATAGTTTGTGAGTTCAAGCCCTGCATCAGGCTCTGTGCTGACAGCTCGGAGTCAGCTTGGGATTCTCTCTCTCTCCTTGTCTATCTGACTCTCCCCTGCTCCTGCTCTCTCTCAAAAGAAATAAATGCAACCTTTTAAAAAAGATACTAATGCTTAGAAAAACTGTACATTTATTCTGATTTTATTTCCTGTGTAAAGCAGCTTAGAAGCTTTTTTTTTTTAAATTGACATCAGAATCAATGTAAGAAGCCAAACTAAACCTGTGTCCAGGTTTTAGTCATTATCTCTACTGTTTTGTTTTGTTTTGCTTTATTTTGTTTCATTTTTTACTAACGACATTAGTTTTCAATTGGAACATGAGTAAGCATGAAATATATAAACCTACACTAACTATAAAAAATGTCATTCTGTTGAGCTTTCTTTGAGGGGTTTGTTTATTTGCTTTTGTTCACAGTCCTATTCATTTTTTTAGCTGAGCCCTCTTATTTATCTATATTAAGAACGCTTTATACATAAACTAAGTTTTCAGCAGTACTCTTTATTAAAATGAATAAAATGATTAGGGCTATTTAAAATAGAAATATTTGGATGGGAATCCATTTTCTACCAGGATTCTAAAAGAAAGCAGAGCACCAATTTAGGCACATTGAAATTTTCCATAGTCTATTGCATTTACACTTTTTCTGTTCCAAATCACATAGGTTATAGAATTGTTCACATTCTTTTGCAACTTACTGGCTTTCAAGTTTCTTACTATTGACAACTTGCAAAAAGGATAGAGTTGCCCTCAAAGAAAGTTACTTTGCTGGGTTTCCAAAGAATGTTGCTACCACTTTTAAAGTTTTAAACGCAATTCCAAGAGAGGAATTGTAAGAATGTTTGTGTAGTGGTGGTTGTAATCGGATTACGTGAATGACCTTCAAGCGCGTCTGTTTTCATTGGATAATTTATGAAGGAGAGATCCTATTAAAATTCAGTCACACATCTCTCTAGATCTACTTCCTCCATGGACAGAACATTCAGTTTTATGGGAGCTGGGGGACCACTTCCTGGGCTATAATGAAGAGTTCCAATGCAGCTTCCTACAAGGAAGAGGAAGAGACTCTGTGTACACAATCACCACCTTCTAGGGATATATAAGGGACGGAGCCAAGTGAGGCGCACAGTGTAACCTGAGATTCACTTCTCTCCATTCAACCACAGCCTGCCTTCCAGATCTCGCTATGTCTTGCCACAGCTGCTCTGCCAACTACAGCTTGGGATCCCTCGGCAATCCCTGCCATCTTCCTCTCGCCTCCTCCATCACCCTCTGTCCTACGGGCGTGAGCTGTGGTGATGTCCTCTGCCTGCCCAGTAACTGTCAAGACCATCTCCGGCCTCTGGACAACTGCCAAGAGACCTGCGGTGAACCCAGCAGCTGCCAGCCAGCCCACCGTGAGCCCAGCAACTTCGAAACTTCTTGCTGCCCGTCTACTATGTATTATGTGTCCAGACCCTGCCAAGGAACCACTTTTCTTCCTGCTGCCTCTTACGTCTCTGGCTCCTGCCTCCCCATCTCCTACAGACCTCTGACTTATGTGTCCAGCAGCTGCCGACCCCTGAGCCTCCCTACTTATGGATGCCGCCCCTTGGGCTGTTTGCCCTGTAATCCTCAACCACTTCAAGTTGTGCCAAGTGGCCTCAGACCTCTGCGTCCGCTCTTGGGTGGGTGCCAACCTCTGACCCACGTGTACAGCACTTGCCGTCCATCCTGCTCTGCACCGGGAGGCCAGTAGCTTCCTTGCGCCACCTCATAATCATACACTAAGGATCCAGGGCAAATTTTCAAACTCTGGGGACTTTGGGTTCTTTCCTAATAGTGCCTTTCCTTGTTTTGACTGTGCCTGATGTAATTCAGACTGCTCCTTTCATATTTTTATCTTGTAATTTGTCTCTCCTTGGCATAAAGTTATTTGATTTACAATGCTGTTCAGTGTCACTCAGATGTGGGAAGAATTTATTTGGTTCACGGTGAAATAAATTAGATTAAGTAAAACTAAGAATCTGGTGCTTCCGTTCGTCTTTTCTTATTTTGTTTTTATAATAGTTGTAACAAGTTTAATGTTATTTATTTTTGAGAGAGAGAGAAACAGAGCACAAGCAGGGAAGGGACAGAAATGGGGGGACATAGAATCTTAAGCAGGCTCCAGGCTCTGAGCTGTCAGCACAGAGCCCCACATGGGACTGGAACCCACAAACTGTGAGATCATGACCTGAGCTGAAGTCGAACACCTAACCGACTAAGCCATCCAGGTGCCCCGATACTTTTCTTTAATGTTTATTTACTTTTGAGAGAGGGAGAGCTCAAGAAAATGGGGGAGGGGCAGAGAGAGAGGGAGACACAGGATCCGAAGCAGGCTCTGTGCTGACAGCAGAGAGCCCGATGCAGGGCTCCAACTCGTGAAACAGGAAATCATGACCTGAGCTGAAGTCTGACACTTAACCAACTGAGCCACCCAGACACTCCTTTCATTATTTAATTTTAGCACAGAAATGACCAACCACAACTGCTTGCAAACAAGTGACTAGGACATGGGTTACTTAACCTTATGCTCTTATCTGATTTTGGTGAAATGGCTTGATGGTTTACTCCTCAAGCTTTTTTCTAGATCTCTGATTCTATGTACTTAATAGCCTCAAAAAGCCTTTGGTGGAAGTTATTTTGACTTCTCAATAGGAATGTTTTCTTTATCTCTCTCATCCAATGAACATACTTCCATCAAAATCTCCTTTCTAATTGCAAACTGAACCATATTTCACTGAACCTTAAGCCTTTGACGGCTTCCTATGCTCTATTATCATATAATAAAAATGCAAACCCCTGACCATGACATCTGTTTTCCCTCATTGCCTTCCTCTGTCCCATCTCTCTGGCTTCCCTTCTTAATATTGCCAACACTAAGCTCCTACAATTCTGACATACATTAAGTCCTCGAACATCTACGTTTTACAGTTATCTCCCTTCTGCTGATCTCATCATCAAGGCCGGGATGCACTTCTGATCAATCTACCTTGAACACTTGTACTCACTTTTAAAAACACAGTTCAGTGGTGCTTGGGTGGCTCAGTTCTGACTTCTCAGATCTGACTTCGGTTCAGATCATGACCTCATGGTTTATGAGTTCAAGCCCTGTGTCAGCTTCTGTGCTGACAGCTCAGAGCCTGGAGCCTGCTTAGGATTCTGTGTCTCCCGCCCTTTCTGCTCCTCTCCCACTTGCGCTCCGTCTCTCTCTCTCAAAAATAAATACGCATTAAAAATAAAATAAAATGAAATAAAGTAAAAACACAGCTCAACTTTATTTACTAAACTGTTGATTTATTCAGCAACAGTTGTATTCTCTATCTACTATATCTTAAACTATCCTGTGCCAGACACAGAGATACAGAGCTGGACAAGATTTACCTGAACTATCTCAGTAGTTACCAAAAGTCATGTACTGTGGGACATATCTGTCTTAAAGATACCTTTTCCCTCGCTCAAAATGTGTAAAAGTTATATATTTTACAAATTAAAATAAAACTAAACTATGAAGGCATGATGTTAATGTTTCTGAAGAACCAGAATATCTAGAAACTGTCTCAGCATGTGGGAAAGACAATGCTCTCCAGAAACTAACTGGGTGGTCATTTCCTTTAGAAAAGGCATGTGCTTCAGGTTCTCAGAACCCATCTCTCCTTACGGACCTTCTGAGATGAAGCTGAATGCCACTCCCTTCTACCTCCATCCCCCATATTTGAGTTCATGCCGCTATTGTAAAATCCTTCCTCATTTATTCTTTTGCTTTGCCCACCTGTCTCTCCCAGATATTTTGAGTTTGTTATATCTGCACCCTCAATTTTTTATTTTTTAAAAATATTTATTTATTTTGAGAGAGAGAGAGAACAGGAGAGAAAAAATCTCAAGCAGGCTCAGTGCTGTCAGGGCAGAGCACAATGCAGTGCTCGATCTCATGAACCATAAGATCATGACCTGAGCTGAAATCAGTGTTTGAAATCTTAACTGACTGAGCCACCCAAGTGTCCCTGCATCTTTTAGCATTTTGAAGTGTTTCCCAGCTCTTTCCACACCTCTTAAACTAAAGAATAAATGATATATTGACTTAGCCAGCCTTTATCTTGGACATAATTCTCTTGTTGATGTTGCTGGACTGCTTATTTTAAAAATCATTTTAAGTGGAGGTGCCTGGGTGGCTCAGTTGGCTTAGCGTCTGACTTTGGTTTCAGTTCAGGTCATCATCCTATGTTTGTGGGATCGAGCCCTGCAGCAGGCTTCATGATGACAGAATGGATCCTGCTTGGGATTCTCTCTCTCCCTCTTTCTCTGCCCCCTTCCCTGCTCTCTCTCTCTCTCTCTAAATAAATAAACTTAAAAAAATAAATTCAAGTGCAATTGTAGTTGAAATGTAACATACTAGTGTGTGCACAAATCATTATTCCACAGGGGTAGCCATTATTCTGACATCTAACCTGTATGTTAGCTTTGCTTGGTCTTGAACTTTACAGTGAAATTATACCATATGTACCCACTTATCTCTAGCATTATTTCTTAAATACTGTGTGAGATTCTTCCAAGCTGTTTCATATATACGAGTAGTCTATTTATTTTTCTTGATGTATAATATTCAAGGATCTAAAACACCAAAATTTATTTATCCATTCTGTTGGTGATGATCATATGGGTTTTTCCAGCTTGGATTAGAAATAATGTATAGAATACTTTTATTCTTGCACCTGTGTTTTTCCATACATATGGAGGTATTTCTATTGAGTGATATATTTGGGAGTGGGATTGATAAATTATATGGGATGTGCCAGGTTAACCTTATTCTATACTATAACATGGTAATGCCCTACAGTTGTATCAGTACTGATTTCTACTATCAGAGCATGAGAATTAAGTTGCTCTGTATCCTCATTAATATTTTCAATATTATGTATGCAGTATTTTTGCATTTAGCTATTCTAGTGAGATCGTAGTTATGAAAAATGTTGATTTTATTTTGAATTCCCCTGATGACTCATCAGCTTGAGAAAATTTTTTAATGCTTTTCCATTTGAATACCTCCCCTTTTTTGATAAAGTAACCATTTGTGTCCTTTGCTGATTTTTTAATTGATACATCTGTTTTCAGGAAGGAAAGGATGCTTTATGTAGTCTCTATATTAGCTCTTTGTTGAGTGGATATATTTTGAACATTTTCTTCCATACCACTGCTAATCTTTTCATGTTTTTACTGGTGTATTTAAATTAATAGAAGTTCCTTAGTTTAAGTTAATCCAATTTATTCATCTTTTAAATCTTTTACAGATTTTAAGAAATCTTTGTTTACCCCAAATTAATGAGTATTCTACATAGTAACTTTAGACACTTTTAACTTTTTGCTTTGCCGTTAACATTTAAATATACCATCAATATAAAATTGATGTGCACAGGGGCAACTGGATGGCTCAGTCAGTTAAGCGTTGACTTCAGCTCAGGTCATGAAGCCTGGAGCCTGCTTCAGATTCTGTGCCTTCTTTTCTCTCTGTCCCTTCCCCGCTCATGCTGTGTCAATCTCTCTCTCTCTCTCTCAAAATAAATAAACATTAAAAAAATAAATAGATAAAATTGATGTGTACATGTGTGAAGTTCTGTAGTAGGGGCCAAAATTCCCATGGAACCTCCACCAACTTCTAAAAGTCCCCCCTTTTCTCACCAGCATTAGAGTTGAGTGCCCTCTTCTTAATAAATCAAGTATCTATACATGAGTGTGTCTATATCTAGACTCTATTCTATTCACTATTTGTCTACCCTTACATCAGTATCTTGCTTAGTTTTTTATTGTTTTATTTGCATTTTCAAACTCTTCTCTAGACTTTGACTTCTTTGAAGGCTGCCTTTGTATCAATACTGATCAGGATCTCTGAAAATATTTGTTGATTTTAACTTAAATAAATTACATTTTGGTCAGATGGTTGAGGAAGCCAGGGAAAGAAGCATTCAAATTTGGGAGAATACTGATGAGAAATTCTACATATTGGTTTTTTTTCCTTCAGAGTTTTATTTTGTGCTGTTTCTCAAGGTTGGCTGAAAACATGTGTTCACTTCTCATCGCCCCATAGCTTGGAATCCAAACAAGTGCATTTTAAGGGAAATTCAATATCCAATATCTCATGACTACATAAGGCCTACTAATATTTATAGATTGGCTCACATGTGATAATTTTGTATTTCCAGCCCAAGGTCATGTTTCTTCTTTAATTAATTTAATTACTTTAATATCCAGCAAGGTAGTTATAATTGTTCTTAATTTAGCCAAGATGATATAGATTGTGAATTACTGATCTGGAATTTATTTTCAAAGTTTTCTCAAAACCCATGTTTCTCTAGTAAACTACATTATGATTACAGTACATATATTTATTTGCTTAATTTCAAATCAATATATTAGCTGATATTTGTTGCCTTCTGGCCTCATAGGTATATTTGCCCTGGCGAATGTAAGGGGAGAACAGATCTTTAAACTTTTTTTCACACATAAAAAATAAATATTCTTAATGTCTAAGCACCAACAGATTGATTGCAATTAACCCTCTGGGCATAGTCATCTTCAAACTGGCTATCACAAGAACTAACTTTCTATTGTTAAACTAGGAGCTCACATACTACTTTGTCCTTCCTCTATGAACTCTAATCAAGAATGCACATTAGGTCTCCATCATAACTAATTATGAAGCATTGTCCCTGAAGCTCAAAA